CAGCTGCCGGAACTGCAGTTTGTTAACCCGGCGACAAAATCTGTGAGATTCGGTGATAACTATCTGGAGCAGCGCATCGAGCTGGAAGGCGGCAGCAAGAACTTCTCGCAGGATCAGCGCCGGCTGTGCCCGAAGCGCGACGAGCTCTACGAGCGCTGCTACGATCCGGCCTTTATGCTGCCGCTGATGATGCACTGCTTCGCGCCGGAGTCGGCGGTGCGTGCACAGTGGCCCGTCCAGAACGGACTCCTAGCGCTGAGCTTCTGTGCGCTGTCTTCGCTGGACAAGGACATGCGTCTGGCCGCCGCCTGCTGTCAGCAGCGTTATCGCAGCCATTTCGAGCTGTCCAAGTTCTTCGAGAAGCCGCTCTGGACGCAGGCCTACGACAACATTCAGTCGGGTCTCGCCGAACTGCGCGACTCCTGGCTAGCCCAGCGCCGAACACACGGAGGTATTCCGCGTGTTCCACTAATCCCGGTGCTGTTCATAGCGCACAGCTTCAATCTGAGCACGGATCCAACACATTTGCTGTACAAGCGCATGATGATGTATCTGCAGCTGAAGCAGAGCTTCAATTTCCAGACCATACCCGAATTCAATATATTCTTCTACTCCCAGGAACCTGAGCATCAGCAATACCGCGAGTTCATTGTCCAACTGCTGAGCAATGGCATCAAATGCAGCTCGGATCTCTTCCTGCTGGTGTCCACCAATACGTTCAAAGTGCTGCTCAGCTTCTATAGCTCCCAACTGGCCACTCTGGACACCAATCTGCTGCTGCTCTCCGTGCTGTCCACGTGCGTGAAGATTCCAGGCGCTGTCAAGATCATGCTCGAGCATGTAGGCATCTTGTCCTGGCTGGTCGGCGTTATACGTGACACCCAGTTCCATCAGTTCGACATCATCGAGGGCATCATTAGCATTGTCAACAATCTCTGGTATTCCGTTGCCGCCAGCCAGTCCGAGCTGCTGTCCGACTACGCATATGTCCAACTACGCCTGCATCGTCTCGTGCTTCACCTGCTGCCGCTGCTCTCGCCGCGAGTCTCCATACCCGGTCTGGCGCGGCTGCTGAATGTCGTCCAGAAGACCGCCTCCGCCGGCCAGTATCTGGCCCTGTCAGGCCTGCAACTGGATCTTCTCCTGGACTGCGTCGCTCGCCATTGGCCGGAACAGATTGCCAGCATACGCTACGTACGCAGCTTTGGCGGCACCTACGCCTGCCCGCGCTCCGAATACTGCGACTCACTGGCCAGGGAGCATAGCCTGGATATGCACTCTGTGCTCGCGCTCTCCAGCCTGCGACAGTACGTGACAGACTGGTGGCAAGCGCATCACCAGGGCACAGATGTCGAGGCAGCCCACAAAATGGCTATAAGCGTGCATCCGCCAGACAAAGAGGTGTCCGCTTCTTAGGGAGACAATTTTATTAGCCTGTTAATTATAAAATGAAGCCCTAAACCGTGTAATATATAAAATATTTTTGCATTGATTTAATGAAGATTTCGGATTTGTGTATCTTACCCGGCATTTAACGGAGCAAGTTATTTCTTTAAATTCATTGGCAACGCAATCTCTAAAACAATCAATTAACAATCTTTAAATTTCACTGAATGGAACCTTGAATGAACTTTAATGGGAGAATTGAAAGAGAACTGAGCGACAAACAGCCTAAGATATATAAAGATAAAATATAAATACTATTTATATAAGGAAGTCTTCCCTAAACTTCTCTTAAAATAAGCTTGAAGGTAATGGGATAGAGGAATTTTCCCAAAATGCTTCCATCCATCCAGGAACTTACCCGATTCCACCTCTTACTGTTATGACAGATGATTTCTCACTATTTTTTTTTTTTAAAGATTGGAGCCGAGTTGCAGAAGAGGACAATCCCTTGACTGAGGGACAAAAAGTTTAGGACATATTAAGATAATGTTTAAATTCAACTTATAAAAGGAAGTCTTCCCTGTATTTCCCTGGATGGAAGCTTGAAGGCTTATTTAAATACTTTTCATACAAATTCAATGCAATTCAATTGATGAATTCAAAAAGAAGAAGGAACTCTTTTAGGGAAAAGGTGGACAATTATTTGACTGGAGGACAAAGAGCTAAGGATATATTAAATACAATTTATATAAGGATTCTATGATTATTGTGTCGAAATGATGTTGCGCATTTGCCTGATGGCCGTCACGAGGCGTGGCTCGCAACCGCTACTCAGGTTGAGATACTGCTCGGGTGCTGCCTTGAGCAGCGTGAGGATCTGGGCCAGCTGCATGTTAATGGTGAGGCCCAGTTCTTCTAGCACGTTCGACAGGTACTCAATGTCCACGCTGAGCTGCGTAGCGTCGGAGGCGGGTAGCGACTTGATCTGCAATATCTGCGCCTGGTACATGACACAGCACTGCTCCACGACCAGACTGAGCAGGACATCAGCACAGGGCATCGCCTGCGTATACTTGATGTTGCACAGCTCCAAGGCCTGCTTAAGCAGCGCGGACGGCGCCAACAGCAGCGGCTCCAGATGCTGCGGCAACGTCAACAGATATTGGCCAATCTGCGTGATGCCCTCTTGTGGCGCAAAGCTGAACGCGGGCATGTTGATGCCCGCCGTTGGGTACACTTCGACAGGCGGGCGTATGTGTGCCAAATGCGCCTCGATCGGCTGCAGTAGGATGTTCAGCGTAATGTCATGCGTCTCGGCCAGATAGGTCTTAAGAGTGACATAGACCTGGGGAAAGATGCCTAAGCTGTCCGCACTGGTGGCCGCTGTCGCATCGCTTCCCTTCTGCTGGTAATCCGCAATATTGGCCAGCAGCTGGGCGCGCAGCGCCGGCTCACAAGTCTGATAGATGCTAATGGCGCCGCTGGCGGGTTGCTGCAGCCGGCTAGCGAGGGCGACCAGGCGCAAATGCAGCTGCTGCTCGAACTGATGCAGCTGCAGCTGAAAATCGGCCAGACATTGTAGCTGGGACATGGTGTACTGCAGCAGGGACCAGTTTTCGCTGCGCGCCGTGCCCTCGCTGTTGCCGCTGCCGAGGCTTAGGCTCAGCTGGCGTTGTGTGCGACTGAAGTTCTCCAGCTGACGCTTGAAGATGCCACCGAGTACCATGATCAGCTTGCACAGCGCCAAATCATTTGTGATCGAGTCGCAGCGGGCACAGGCCTGCTGCAGCCACTCGTAGAGCTTGCGCGTGCTGTCCTCCAGATGACGCACTGCATCGCTGGGCGTAGCCTGATTGGACAGCAAACGATCGACTTGCGTGGACAGCTGCGTCTCCTCCAGCCGTGGATACTGTTGTATAAACTTGTGAAAATATTCAAAAATCGATTCGCCCAGCTGACGATGCAAATCGACCGATAAGCTAATCTGCGACTGCTCCAATGTTGAGTTCAGATGCAGCACAAAGTTTTGATTGGCCTGAGCGTATTGGGCCAGTAGCTCGAGCCGCTCATTGGAGCTCTTCAGCAGCTGGAGTATATGGGCGTCCCGGGTGGGCTGTAGCGCCGGCAATAGCTCTGCGATGACCAGAAATGGCTGCGACTGTGCCATGTCCAGCGGCTCCCCGGCAAACAGCTGAACACACCATTTCAGCTGACGCTGGCAATGCTCTAGCAGCTGGTCGTAGTAGAGCGCGAGGAAGTGCTGCTGTGGCGACTCGCTGACCTGCAGCTCCAGCGTCTGCTTCCACTGCTGCTGCAGCACATTCTTCTGCACGGCTCGATAATATTGTTGCAGCTGCGGCAATCTTTGAATGCTTGCGAAGATTTGCACATGCCGCTGAGCCTGTTCCAGATTCGACTCGGCGAAGCACTGTACCAGGCTAGGCGAGGCCATGGCCTCCAGGCGATTCTTGAAGTCCTCCACCTGCGTTTGGCGCTCGGCATGACCGGGCAGCTGTTCCTGCGCCTGCAGCGACTTCTGCAACGCCGTCAGCTTATCGCAGACGCCCTGCAAAGAGTAATTATGTAAATTTGTGATTGAAATTCTCTGCCGGAACGGGTTACCTTCATGTCGTTGCGTTCAAAGCAGTCTTCCAGTTCGGCAAGCAGATTGCCCCAGCCATCCGACTCCTGCAAAGATTCCTTAGCCGCCTGCAGCTTGGTTTGCAATGTGTTTAGGCGCTCCAACGTGGCCATACAGTCGCCCGTCTCCTCCTGCACGGCGGCCACCTCTTGGCGCATCGCGCTCATCTTCTGCTGCAGCGCTGCCACATCGCATTGCAGAGTGGTAGCCTCCTTGGCAATGCGCGGCATGCTGGCCACGACCTGCTGGCTGGACTCCTCGACGGCATAGTTCACCTGCTGCACATACAGCTGCAGCTTGGCCACGTAGCTTTGTATGAATGCGGTGGCAGTTGCGCTCTCGTTTTTATTATTCTCTTCCGTATATTTTTTATAGTTTGCATTTATCCAATCAGCGGCAGAGAAACTTGACTCTGATAGCGCCGAAATATCCATTATCAAAAACGGGTTATATCCGTTTAGGAAATATTTTTAATATAAATTCGGCCCCTTGAATGGCACAGCTGTTAGACTTGTAGTGTTGGAAAATGTTGGGAAGTTGTTTATATTTTTTTTTAATATCTACTGATTTTTGCTTAGAGCTTAAGAATTTATAGCTAAATATATCATATCTTAGCCATAAATTAAGGTAACTACCAAGCGTTAACGGTAGTTACTAATTCGCATGTCGATTTTTTGTTCATGATACGAAGACGCATGATTCTCATCGCTCATCTCTAGCTCACGCACTAACAGATGACAGATATTAAAACATGTTTTTAATATAAGTTCTGCATCTTGAAAATATTGGATAGTTGTTTAAAAGCTGAATATAATTATATCTTAGACACAAATCAAGGTTGCAGTAGCTACTAATTCTCATTTAGCTTTCGATTTTTTGTTCATGAACGAACACGCACGACCCAACAATATTAGTTCGTGCGAAACAAAATCGGAGCACGCGCTCATCTCTAGCACTGGCACTGACAGATGTGTTATTATGAGTCTTTGATACTTTGCTCGAACAACGACGATTTGCTTAAAAGCTTACGCTGATGTATTTAGTTAGTGAAACATGTCAGTTTGCAAAGCCGATCCCTGGCAAGTGAAAAATAATAGCAGTAAACCAGAAAACGGAAATACCGACGTGATTGAAAAATTCGAAGATAATTTCAACCCCAATAAATCAGAGAGCAGACGCACATCAGATATCGTCTACAGCAAAACCGAGAGTAATGCTTCAGGCTCACAACGCATCGAGCCGCTGCCGGATTCGGCAAATTATTTGCAATTGCTAGGTGCGTATAATGAAACTGCCTAATTAATTTGAATTTATCTTTAATTGGCCACGCAGAGCGAAAACTGGAGAAAGTGCAAAAGGGCAACAAATTGTTGGACTCGCTGCAGGAGAAGAAAGAGGATTGCATGCGCTCCTTGCTGGCCTCGAACGGTGTGCCAGAATCTACGCTCGAGCAACTGCTCGATTTTGATACGCCTATCGAGAGCGGTCGGCTGCATCGTCACCTGCTGCCCGTGCAGGCGGTAACTGTAGGCGAAACATTGCAGATCGTGCAATACGACGCTCTCGAGGAACAGGAACAGCAAGTCGAGCAAGGTCAACAAGAAAAGCAGCAAGACGAGACGGAAAAATAAATTAACTAAACCTAATAATAATGGACTCTACGTTTGGCAATGTGTTCCTGTTCCTCACCGATTTGGCTTGGAAGAGTCGTTTGACAATACCATTGCTGGTCACAACAGCTTTCCTGGTCATGGACATACGCTTGCAGATCGAGATTAACATCCAGACGGGACAAGTGGTACCTGAAAACTCACTACCATTAAATCTAGAACTAATCCCTTTATAATACAACTACAGAATGCCAGCGACCTTGATGAGCCGGACGACGCTTTCGAGGAACAATTGGCGCATGGCGCAGCGTTTGCAATGGAAGAGGAGAGCGACGTCTATACGGATGATCTCGAGGAGTATAATAGCGAGTATACCAACGGAGATGGTAACAGCAGCGACACGTCACGTTACAGCGTGGATATCGACGATGACTTGGGCTCCGAGTACGACGTCGAGAATGATCTCGATGCTTACTATGCGAGCGAAATTCACTTCTAGCTAGACTACTTCGAATATAAATTTTAAGAGTAATATATGTACATGTTAGAAGCTAATATCTGTAGATTTTAGATGTATATGCATATAGCCCCAATATTACGTATTTGTATATTTCGGTGTAATCACAATTTTGAAACCAGTTCAAGCCAAAATGCTTGTCTTTTAGTTTTATTAGCCTTACATATACAATTTAATCAATTCGTCGCTAACCGCCGATGGCGTCAGTATGCCCAAATCGGTGAAGAGCAGCGTGATATATGCAGGCGGTGTGTAGTCAACCAATGGATGCACCTTAGACACATCATTTAAATGCTTGCGCGAATACTGAAAATGCAAATAAAAAATTAATTTTGAATAAGCGCGTCACTGTCACAGCGTTACCAACTGCCGCTAATCAGCTAATCAGACACTATTAGCTTCCGTTTTAGTGCTAATTGGAATAAACGGAGCTGCTAATACGTATTAAACTGCCAATAAGTATCTGATCTCTGGAAACGGTTCATTGAATTGGCAACCCTGCTTGCACTACATCTTGCGTACCTTGTACTCGTTAGACAAATCTCTTTGATTCAAAGGATATAGGCGAGAGAACTTGAAACTTTCAGAGAGCACATAGAAGGGCTTCTTCATTTCGCGCGCACACAAGCCCATTGTGTAGGAGCCAATGCGATTAATAATGCCACCGCTCTCCACGACCGCCTCGGCGCCTACCATAACAAAGTCAACCGATTCCATTACATAGCCGGTGGCAGCGTCTAGTATTAGCGTACAATCAATGTCCGCGGCCTGCAACTCCTGTACCATCTCCTCCCTAAAAAATGGTACAGTTAAGCAAAAGATAACAATTGAGTCTCCGATTACTTGCCCGGGGCTACCTATGCCGCCCTGCGTCACAAATACGTGAAAGGTCTTTTTGTTTTGCGATGCGGCTATCAGCGCCTGGAGGACCACTCGAGAGCGGGAGTGGGTAAGGATTCGACAGCCATCGCTGATAAAACGCTGTGCCTGCTGTGAAATGACCTGACGCGAATTCAGTAATTTGGTAAGAAAGATTTTCCCCCGATTCAACATGATCTGCCGGCACTCCTCCATGTGTTTGTCATCCAAACTGAGTGTTATAAAACGACAGAAGAGCTCGCCAGCCGACACGATGGCTGCTATGGACAGGTCCGTATTACGCATCGCTGCCACAGCCTCGCGCATTGTGGTGTGCAAAATATGTATGGTGCCAACTAAGAGTTTATTACGATTATTATTATTACTAGTTTATAAAAAAAATATGCTTACATTGTTTTTTTTCTAATATCATCAGCAACGTTTTAATGGCCGCTATGCCAGAGGACATGTCCTTGTCATCGTCGAGCAACTGCAGAAAATACTTGACAACGTCTTAGAAAATAGTTTATTAATATTGTACAATTTAATGTCATTTCACGGCCACTTACCAAATTCTTCGTTCGTTTTTGTAACTTGTGGCATCTTAAAAGTAAATTTTAAGCTGTTACTTCTCGCTGTCAACAATTGCGATGTAAACAGCTGTTTTCTTGCGCGGGGTGGTTACACGTAAAGACAGGCTCTGGAGATTAGGGATGGATTAAATAAATTAATTGATTAACAAACCAATTAATAATGTGAAAGCAGGCAATTTACATATTTAGCAGATATCATAACACCTTACATTTATGTATATCTATAATGCAGCAAATGGCATAACAAAGTTTTTATTCCCTGATGACGTGCATGCCAGTGTTGCTTGGCGGCGGGCACATTAATAATTTAACCAACACTGAGTGCCGGGGCAAAATAGTAAACAATTGAATATTGTGGCAAATGTTATTTTGTTTTTATTTTATGTTTCGGCATAATATCGTAACAAAATTAACGAAATGTGCATTAAATTAGAGAAGGAAACGTTCAATTAACTAGGGAACCCACTTGAGCTTTGGTTAATGCGCTTTGCCAACGTGTAGTCGTGGACAGCGACAATGTTTAAGCTAGAGTCCTACATAACACCAATTTTGCTGAACTACGTGGCGAAATATGTAAACATTCGCGACGAAGATGCACAGGTGTCGCTGTGGGAGGGCGAGGTATCGTTTCAGAATTTGGACCTGCGCCTGGACGTGCTCGAGGAGGAACTGAATCTGCCAATTGAGCTCGTCTCCGGCCACATACACGAGCTGTCCATCCAAGTGCCCTGGACAAAGCTAACATCGGAGCCGGTGCGCATCGAGATTAATACCATTGAGTTTGTAGCCAAGCTGCCTAACGAGGAGAGCAAGCAGCGTCGCGCCGCCCTGCTGCAGGAACAGCGTCGCAAACGCACTGCGGCCGAGGCCGAGGAGCAGCAGCAGGCCCCCACCAGCATTCCCGGCGTGGTCAACAAGATCATCAACAACATCAACTTGCAGTGCCACAACATCATTCTGAAATACGTCGACGATGACATTGTGGTCTCCATGAACGTGCAGTATTTGAACTTCAGCGCAGCCGATGAGAAGTGGCAGCCAGCCATGGTGGATGTGAATCCCGTGAATGTGTTCTTGCGCAAGCTGCTGCAGGTATCCGATTTAACGATATGTCTAGATAAGCGCAACACGGCTGGTCGTATTGAGGTGTGCCAGGAGCCGGTTCTATACCGTTGCACACTGGAGCTGCGTGTGCTGCGGAAACACAATGTAAATACCATGAGCACCATGAGCACCACGCGGATTGGCGTCTTTACCAAATCGCTGGACATTAATGTGTCGTCGATGCAGCTGCCGATGGTTATGAGGCTGGTTAAAATGCTACTGGAGCTGAAGCCCGCTGAAATTGAGGAGGAAATCTTTAGCTTGGAGCCACCAGCGGCGTCTCCCAATGTCGGCGGCACCACAAATCTGGTCTCAAGCGACGTGGTCACAACTTCATTATTTTCGCGTGCGTGGAATTTGTTTCCCAGCTTCGAGACACCACCGACCTCGGCAACTGTCGAGGATCCCGTTGGGCATGCCTTCGATGTGGGCGTCTATGCGGAGGAATTGAATTTCCAGCTCAAGAACTCGGAGCTAATCACCGACCAGGCCATGGGCGGCATCAAGCGCATACGCTACACCCCAATTCTGCGCATCAGCCTGGGCGGCATATACTACGAGAGGTCGCAGCTGAAGGAGAGCGATTGGACGAATGTGCGGGCGGGCCTATCCAGTATTTGTATGGAGCCGTTGGGTGTCTATCGCAGCGATGATCCCATGGATCGCAGCCTGGTCAACACAAAGGAGGTAGTAGTCAATTCTCCATTCCAATCTCTTGGCTCTAAATTGTTGTCCACTTGCTTTTAGTTCCACAACGAGCGCGCGTTTATTGACAAGAGTCTGTTCGATGATCAGTACACGTTCGCGGATCGCAGCTGGTCAAGCCACAATCACGACGATTACTTCGCACGCAACACCGACGAATATATGCTCTTTCGCAGTCCGGTGCTCGCCTTCGACATTGTCGAGTGCCGTGCGCCGCGGCCCGCTAGGGGCCAAGCCTCGCCGGAGGCGCAGCTGAGAGATCTGGGCCTGCGCGTCAAGTATCGAGTGCTGTCCGCGGGCATAACATTCCATTTTACGCAGTCATTTCTACAGGTTAAAAATGTAATTAGTGATTTATTGCGTCCTTACGATTACTCAGGATATCATGCAGAGACCGTAAACGACAACGTCAACAGCCCTGTGAGCAGGGAAGAGGAGTACAAGAACCGGTACATGACCTATGCCGATTTTGAGTACCTGATGGGCTTCATGCCCACGTGCAACTATAAGATTGAGTTGCGTGACATGACCGTAAAGTTCTATCCGCGACAGCAGAGTGACGAGAGCTCCTCGGCCGCCAATCAGCATCGCCTGAGCACCACGGTCAACCAATCTCTGCTGCCCTATCTGCAGCTGAGGCTAGCCTTCGCTGAGGGTGTCATTTGTGGGCCGGCCAATCCGCAGCGTCTGGTGCAGCTAATCACCCATCTGGAGGACAAGCCACGCGAGATAATCGAGTCCTGCTACAATGCTTACACGTTTAATGTCAAGAATTTGTCGTTGTCGGCAATCAATACCACGCCAGAGATGGGCACGGCCAAGCTGTTGAATATACCCAGCATGCAGGTGCAGTTCAAGAGCCTCCTATTGCCCAATTATTGGCGCCGAAATGTGGCCGCTCTGGAGACGGCCGAGGTACAATCGGAGCTGATTAACTTGGAGTTCTCCAAGCGTGAACTCGTGCTAACCACACGCATCATACCCCTGATATTGGGCTACAATGGCCCCCAGCTGGGCGCGCTGGCCAAGCTGGTCGCTCAGGCGAACAACTCCTCGGACGTGATCAAGCTGCAGTCGCTCATCACCAAGGTGCGGCTCAACTATCGCAAGTACCATACGCACCTGGCCATGTTGTTCTCGCTGCGAAACCTGAGCACAGATGTTTACCACACGATGATGAACATTCGAAACGTCGTCTTGTCCACAAATAAGGGCATCACCAACAAATGGCTTGAGCTGCAGTTGCAGGTTCCGTTTCAGGACTCGAACCCGGACAGCAAGCTGATACCTGCCAATGCAGTGTGTCTCTGGATCGAAAGTTTTCGCATCACACTGGACATCTATTTGTTACAGTTTCTCAACTCTTTCGCAAATCCGGAGCCGTGCATTGAGAATGGTAAGTATCCTCTTCTCCTAGATATGTACACAAAACGGAATGTCGGAACCGACTCAAGGGGTTTGGGGTAACGGAGAAACTATTAACATTTGCAGTATTTAGCTTTCATGTCCTAGATAAACGCCTTAATATATACGGCCGGACGGACAGGCGGGTGGACATGGCTAGTTGCATTCTTAAGAAGCACAGGGATAATAGTTAATGCCGAGTATGGTTAAGATATCTCGATAAACATACAAGAACCAATTTTCGACAGACCGTTCCTAAGGCAGCTTTATGATACAGGGGTTACTAGGACTTTGCAAATGTATGAGGATTATAGTAAAACTAATAAATGCCGAGTTTGGTCAAGATATCTAAAAAAGAAAACATAATACATGCATAGAAACAGACAGATTCATTCGGAAATTTATATACTTTATGGGTTCGGAGATATCTCCTATGAATCTTACTCTCTACAAGGGCATTAAAATCATAT